ATATAGTTTTTTTTTATTTTATTTTGATTTTTGTTATTACAAGAATACAGTCTTCTGTGATGGACTTGTGACCTGTGCAGGTTGTTCCCTGCTTCTTCTTGCACACTGACTGCTGGATATGGGCACCAGTGACCCTGTGACCCATAAAGAAAAAAGTGGGTAAAGATAATGGATGGATGGATGGATGGATAGAATCCAGTCTTTTCTTTTGTTTCAAATTTTTTGGGGGCCGAGATGGTGTAGGGGCAGGGCAGCAGACGATTCCCAGTCATTGCACATCTCATGGTGTCTCTGAGCAGGATACCATATTCCCACTTGCTTCCCGGAGCCAATTTTGCCATTGCATGGGAACATCCAATGATGACAATACATAACACATTATAAATGTAAAAATGTCAATAAATGTTAACAATCATTGGATGTTTTTAGTTTTATAATTTCATGCCTACTGGCCAGGAAAATCCCCTCTAACAAACTTAAAGTGGCCCATGGGCCACCAGTTGATAATGACAATTGTAGCAGGTTTTGCAGCTCTGGACATGTTTAATTTAGTGAACAAAGGGGCAGAAATGGCTCTTTTGATCGTAAGGGTTGCAGACCCCTGCACTAAATGAACACACACCACCAATTCAAGCTCTCAACTAAAGATTTTCTTCTTTTTTTCCCATAACAAAAAAGATGGATAAAATAATTCAAGGTGCGAACCTGAATTACATCCTGCAGGTTGAGTCTATAAAGAAACTGACCGTTCATCAGGTGAGTCCACATGGAAGGTCCTCTCGATGACGGTGGTCCACTGAAGACAGCGAATGATGAAGGTGTTCGGCTTTGGCCTCTCAGTCTTCATCAGCTGACATTCTGGAATGAACAATAATGCCTTTACAGAACAATCAAAGCAATTATATTACATTCAACGACACAAATAAAAACAGGAAAACAGCAAAGACACCCAGGAGTTTCAATATATAAGTTTCATTTCTATAAGAACCCAATAAGTTTTGATTTCCACTTCATGGCCAGCTGGCACAAAAGACAGGTGATCATGCGTGATCATGAGCCTGTGTGTGTTTGTCTGTTAGCAAAATATCACATGAACCAGCAGAAGGATTTTAATAAAGCCTTCAGACAATAATCGTTTGATGTATTTCTAAAACAGATTAAATTTTGAAGTCCGTTTGTTTTAAGATGGCAGCATCAGTTAACTAATTTTACCAAACCCTAAAATGGCCAGTTTTTAAGACATTAAACTCAAATTTAGTGTAGTAGTAGCTGAGTGTCATCCCTAACACATACCCTGAGCACTAACAGATCGTGCAATATCTTTGCTTAAAACTTTAACGTGCAAGGTGGCGAGCAGATATGCATTCTTTGAAAAAATGCATTGTGACACAGATAAGATTTTTCTTCTCTTGCCTTTTTTATTAGTCATCAGCAACAACTAACATATTTAACCTGAAACAGTCTGAAATAAAAACAAAAGATATTCTAAAATAAGACAAAGCCTGATCAGATGCAAGTATGATTTACTTCTCTTTGCTCTTTGGAGCTGCATGACTCCTCATTTATTGTCATTCTTGTTGTATTATTACTAACTCCAAACTTTTTCTGCTGTTAACAGGTCGAAAAGTTTCCCTGCCATGGAAAGGTTTAAACGGATACAGTGTAGGCTGTGTCAAACACACAGTTCAAATTTTACTTTGTTGGTGTAAAAACAGGCGAAGGCTTCAATAACTTAAAAAAGCTGCTTTCTTGTGCCAAGGGATATCATGTGTTGAGTCGCACACGCATCTGGCAACTCTCCGACGACACACATTTCTACGAAAACAGGCGACACGGTAGGCCAATATTACACAAATGCATAATACGGTACACAAAGGCAAAAACGAAAGCACACATGGCCAGATGGGGCTGTGAGCTCGCTGTGGGAAAGGATGCATCTTCATTGTCCCTCAGCAGTCTCTGCGGTTATGGAGGACGAGGACCGGTGTTATGATCCATCTTCTGTCCTCGCATCTGGTTTACATTCATCACCCTCTGTTTCCTCTCCTCTCTCCACCGCCTCCTACATCCTCAGCGATCCTTTACTCCAGTTTCTTTCTGTTTAAGTGGCGCGGCACAGCACGCCACTGCTAAGCCTAAATATAGACAGGAAGGTTAATGGTGAAACTACCCAGGTCGTGCACACGGAGGCGCCTCAATGTAAACGCACACAAAGCCGTTACTACCTGACTCGTGAACAGAACCCGCTGTGCTGCCAGAAAACAAGGTCATACTATTGTTGATGCCAAATAACACTCACGTTCTCACATGGACACACACACATAAAAGTGAACTTTGAATGTTAGCTGAAATTGGGTTGTTTGCCACAGCAGGCGATTGTGAGATCTGTGTAGCAGTTTAGCGGGTGCACAAGTGTGTGTGTGTGTCAAGCTTGTATGTATGAGTCCCTCTGCAGGGAACAGGCCTGTACCATCTCTGTTCCATCTGACCACTTCTGTTCTGCACACACACATAGACACACACAGCCACACACAAATAAACAAACACACACACACCACCTGGCCTCGCAGCTTTGGGCAACAGATGTGGCAGTGGCGGTGCTGTGCCAAGCAGCCGGGGCCGGATGTATGGCCTGGCTTGTCCGCCTCACAAACTCTTTTTCCTCCTCCTCCGATCTGGTCTTCACCTCCTCCTCTCTGTCTGCTCCTTTCCTTTCAGACACACCTCATGCACAAAAACTTCACCTCTCCATCCATCTTACTGCTCCTTTTTCCTCTCTCCTCCTCCATCCTTCATTAAACCATTTTTAACAATTTCCTCCAAAGTATCAGCTTGTATTCCATCATTTATCATATTTTCGTCTTTGGCGCTCGTCTCTCGTCCTCTCCTCTGCCTGTCCTGCTTGAACACCAGTGTGGATCACTGCTTCCTCGAAGCCATGAGATCTGAACTGACTAGGCCTATTTGGTTTCATTTTGATTAATTTGAAGACAATGATAGCATTTAAAAATCAGACCTAAGCCGTATTACACTGTTCACCGTGAATGTAAGCATGCAGTGACATCTGCACCAGCTTAGAGCCTATCTGATTATCCTCAGAAAACAGAGATGTATAATCATGGAGAAGATCAAACTGCTAAATAACCTAAATCTATTCATGCATTAGGAGATGGATGCTGTGTGATATTCTGAATATACATCTTTTTAATTCATCAGCAGATTCAAAAGAGAAGAAAACCTCCAAAATAATTAAAATCTTAATTTGGGAATCATTGGTGAAAACAAATAACAACAACAACAAAAAAAAAACCATAGAGAACTTGCATTTCCTGCGAAAAAGAGGTGTGAATGCTTATTGTTGAAGAACTTGCTGAAAACAGCTAAAATAAAAACATGCTGAAATGTAGCTGAAATAGAAGAACAAGTCAAAGTTAGCAGAAGAAAGCAGAAAGAACTCATATTTGCTGAAATAGGTTTAAATACGCAAATACGTGAGCACAAAAAGTAGGAAATTAGCTAAAAAGTAGCTGGAATAGCAGAAAAAGCTGAAAATAGCAGAGAAAAAAAATGAAAGGAACACAACAAGCTGAAATTAACAGAAATAAGTTAATTTGACTGAAAATAGCAGAAATTACCAAGAAAACTTGTATATATCTGAAAACAGCTGAAATAAGTTAAAAATGCTTTTAAAAAAAAGTAGCTGAAAAGGTAGAAAAAAACTTGAATTAGCATAAGAAAGCAGAAAGAACATGCTTGCTGAAAGAAGCAGAAATGAGCACAGAAAAGTGGGAATTATCTGAAAAAAAAGGCAGAAATTAGCAAAAAAATAACAGCTGAAAGTAGCTAAAAAAGCAGAAAAAGCAGAAATTACCAGAAGGAAGCAGAGAGAGCAAATTTTTGAAGAATTAGGCTGAAAAAAGTTTAAATGGGTGCAAAAGAATGTGAAATTAGCTGCAAAAGCTTAAATTAGCATAAAACAGTTATATAGTTGCTAAAATATATTAAAAAAAGCTTAAACTTGCAAAGAAATAAGCTGAAAGTAGCATAATATGCTGAAATTAGAAAAAAAGTTAAAAGAAGCTCAAAAATGTTTTAGAAAGTATCAGAAAGGAGCACAAACCAGCTGAAAAAAAACAGCTGAAAGTAGCTGAAAAAAGTTTAAATTTGCACAAGAAAGCTGAAAGAAGTGGAACCAGGCCAAAATATGAAAGGAGCAGTAAAAGGTTGAAAACAGACCTAAAAATATGAAGGATGTACAATGAACTCAGTCCATGTTCTATGAGGACAAAACATGGCAGAAAAGGCTAAATATTTCAAAAAGTTAAAGTTGAACCAGACATAGCACCCCTGAAAGAGCTGAACGTTTTGATATACAGTGCCTTGCGAAAGTATTCAGCCCCCTTGAACTTTTCAACCTTTTGCCACATTTCAGGCTTCAAACATAAAGATATAAAAAAAAGTTGTGAAGAATCAGCAACAAGTGGGACACAACCGTGAAGTGGAATGAAATTTATTGGATGTGTCAAACTTTTTTAAGAAATAAAAAACTGAAAAGAGGGGCGTGCAATATTATTCGGCCCCTTTACTTTCAGTGCAGCAAACTCACTCCAGAAGTTCAGTGAGGATCTATGAATGATCCAATGTTGTCCCAAATGACTGATGATAAATAGAATCCACCTGTGTGTAATCAAGTCTCTGTATAAATGCACCTGCTCTATGATAGTCTCAGGGTTCTGTTCAAAGTGCAGAGAGCATCATGAAGACCAAGGAACACACCAGGCAGGTCAGAGATACTGTTGTGGAGAAGTTTAAAGCCGGATTTGGATACAAAAAGATTTGCCAAGCTTTAAACATCCCAAGGAGCACTGTGCAAGCAATCATATTGAAATTGAAGGAGTATCAGACCACTGCAAATCTACCAAGACCCGGCCGTCCCTCTAAACTTTCATCTCGAACAAGAAGAAAACTGATCAGAGATGCAGCCAAGAGACCCATGATCACTCTGGATGAACTGCAGAGATCTACAGCTGAGGTGGGAGAGTCTGTCCATAGGACAACAATCAGTTGTACACTGCACAAATCTGGCCTTTATGGAAGAGTGGCAAGAAGAAAGCCATTTCTCAAAGATATATAGAAAAAGTGTTGTTTAAAGTTTGCCACAAGCACCTGGGAGACACACCAAACACGTGGAAGAAGGTGCTCTGGTCAGATGAAACTAAAATCGAACTGTTTGGCCACAATGCACAACGATATGTTTGGCATAAAAGCAACACGGCTCATCACCCTGAACACACCATCCCCACTGTCAAACATGGTGGTGGCAGCATCATGGTTTGGGCCTGCTTTTCGTCAGCAGGGACTGGGAAGATGTTCAGAATTGATGGGAAGATCGATGGGGCCAAATAAAGGACCATTCTGGAAGAAAACCTGTTTGAGTCTGCAAGAGATCTGAGACTGGGACGGAGATTTATCTTCCAACAAGACAATGATTCAAAACATAAAGCCAAATCTACAATGGAATGGTTCACAAATTAATGTATCCAGGTGTTGGAATGGCCAAGTCAAAGTCCAGACCTGAATCCAATCGAGAATCTGTGGAAAGAGCTGAAGACTGCTGTTCACAAACGCTCTCCATCCAACCTCACTGAGCTCCAGCTGTTTTGCAAGAAAGAATGGGCAAGAATTTCAGTCTCTCCATGTGTAAAACTGATAGAGACAAACCCCAAGAGACTTGCAGCTGGAACTGCAGCAAAAGGCGGCGCTACAAAGTATTAACACAAGGGGGCCGAATAATATTGCACGCCCCACTTTTCAGTTTTTTATTTGTTAAAAAAGTTTGACACATCCAATAAATTTCA